TATGTGTCTATCTAATAAATTCGAAAAAACATTTACCTATATAAAAAAATAAAATAATAAAAATATTTAATCATGTGTATACGAATTGTATTCAGAGCTACTTAACTTCAATATACCTATCTAGAGCGTTGCTCAAAGGTCGAATCTCGTATTTTTATAAACTACTGTTTATCAATACCGATTTCGGGATAATCATTACAGTAAAATTTATTACTTGTTTTAAAAATGCAAACAACACAAACTTTTTGCTCGGACTGGACTGAAATTAGACACGATAACAGCCTATTATGGTTTTTGTTATAAAAAATGGAGTATTGAGTGTTGATTGTAAAGCGTGTGGGCGAAATCGTAGCCGGCAATACTGTACCAGAGTTATTCCGGAGGAGGCGACAGCATGGCGATCTACCGTTCGTTCACGTTCATACACAAAAAGTTCCATCAAGTACCATCAGACTAAAAAGCGTATTTAACGTAATTATACACTCAATCCTAATTTTCAATACCATTTACTATTAAACATATCATTACGTTTGTAGACATGAAATTTCATATCTTCACTGTACATAATACCTTGCCGTACGAAAACTACATTTTTCTTTTTATCTTAGTTTGGTACCGTTAAGTGTAATTTTTGTAAGTTAATGTGAATCTTTTTTATACCGAAACAAATGAATGACCCACCACTAGGAGTTTATTATAGCCTCGGCCGTGTCGCTCCACTACACTACGGAAATGAAGGTTGAAATCACTAAACAAATTGTTATTATTTTCACTGACCCGATGAATAGTCGCAATAAGGAAATATTAAAAAATAAATTGTATTAAACAAAAAATCACAACTCAAAAAATAAGTCAAGTTCACCACGTCATTGTCACCCAACACAATAGACAACAGTAACTAAGGTATAAATAATCAGAAATATTAATTAAACGTACGGTCAACCTGTTTCAATAATAACTACATTTTAATTTGATATAAAAACAATAAAGGTAACTGATGAACATTAATAACAATGCAATAAAATTAATATATTGTTCATCATAAACACTTTTTGAAGCTCTTTTGTGTACATAATTAAATTATCATGACATTCTTTCACTTCAGAGTTTTATTTGTTTGAACAAATATGTGAATAGAATTAATTCGTATAATAAAAATAGAATGTTTTTAGTATTAAACTACCTTGATTTATGTACTAAAAATAAAAATAGAAACTTTAATTTATTCTACTTGTGAATACAGAAATCGGCTTGTATAGGTATGACAATGACGTACAGCTGTATAGATTTTTTAAGATAATTCGCAAGAGTTGATTCTCAGGGGTTATAGTAAGTACTTAAAAAAAAAAAGTTGTGAGTAGGCAAGGTCGAGGCCATCTAAGATCAATGCACGCCGTGATCACTTTTTTCAACACTCTTGATTCAAAGGTTGATTGATTTTTATCTATGGTTAAATTAAAAGAGATTAAACCTAGATGTTTTCAACCTCTAAAATTTCATAATAATTTTTTTTAGTTATCGCAACCGTAATGAAATTAATTTCTGAAGTTTATTTCAAACTAAATAGCTTTAAACAGGGGATAATGTAAATATAATCATTATGGGATTAAATTGTTACTATTTTTAATTTATAGTATAGGTAACAAAAGAATAACATTATCCAACAATTAATAATTAAAGAAAAATCATTTCCAATTTGATTAAATTAATATACATCAAAATTTTTAAATATTTATCGAAGATATTCTAAAAAATACGGTCTAATTTAGAACTTTTCCTGCAAAATTCTATTAGGTTTTATTTTCCATCACAAATCTTAATATAGTTGCCTTTTGTTTTGAAATAAAATTATTTATAATATCGCTTGCACTACGTAAAATTCTGACGAAATAAAATGGCGTTTTGTTATGAATCGTTTATATGACGCGTCGAGACGATTGATTGAATATCCCTTAATGATACCTAACAAAGTTATTCACATGTCATTTGTTGATATTGGACCAATATTGTTTTCGTAGTCGTAATTGGCATTGCGCACATCCGGCAATGAAGTGGTCCAAATAAATGGTAAAATAAACGGTGGTTGCTTATTTTCAACAGCTACATAGAAACTAACCGTATTAATTATAGAAACATAAACTTCCAGTCAATGTTTTTTAAAATTAGTAAATACGTATTGTTATATTTCTTGCACTAAAAAATCTACTTTATAGAAAACTTAGAAAATAATCAAAGTCCATTACCGAATTCATTATTCTATTAGTTGCCAATAAAGAAATATTTTATGGAACTTGACATTTTTAAAAGTATGAATATATAGGACACGATATCTTAGAACATCTCTATTTGATAGAAATATTCTAAAATATCACAGGAAGGTAGCGTACAATAAAATGAAATTGTGACTCCTCTATAAATAATACATATAAAATTTTATTACGTATGATTACATCAAACTAAAACATGCTTTCAAATTATAGATATTTATTTTCTTATTATTATTATCTATTACCACGAAAAGAAAAACTCCATACAGTCTACTGTTTATTTTTTATCATCACTTAATGCATTCATTGTCCATTACTAAATATGAGGCTTTTACGAACTGCAAAGATGATCAAACGATGCATCAAGTCGAACCATCAACTACCTACTTGGAACACAATTAATGTCATTACTCTATGTAATAACTGATTTATATATTAATATTCCAATATTTAATAATAATAAATCGTAGCAGTTACATTGTTCTCCGTTGTATGACCTTAACCATGGTTGTAGATATTTATTATTCGTTTATCTCGACAAGGTTGCATGACTGCAACTCCGCTTCCAGCATACAACTTCAGAATTTTACTTCCTTGTATGCCTATTTTTAAATAGAACATAGCTTATTTATACTTAAAATTGTAACGAGGCTAAAACCACATATTATACTTACATAAAATATACTTACTTTTTAAAGAGAAGAAGAATAGAGCCGGTACTGGACCGAACAGCATGATTATTTTATTTCATTTGTTTAGTGAAAATTTTGCAAACTATTTTGTGATTAAAACTTCCATTCAACTTAGAATTAGGCCGAATTTAATTTTATTGTGATTAAAAAATTGGGATTACAAAAATAATACAAAATAATAAATGCAATTAGAACCCCACGATTTACAATAAAAAGGATTTATATAAAATTACTAGTGGTTACGTAATATAAAAATACTACTGCTTTTTAAACAATTTTTGATCAATTAAATGATATCATGCCATGGTTAGTTACCTAGTGCCAGAAAATAATTTTTAAAAAGATCTATCCTTAAGATCTATTATGTTTAATATCATATAACAGGTAGCTTTTATTAACAAAATTATTATTTCCTTATGTAGGGACAACAAAATTAATGAAATCAACGTATATACAGAATATTAGTTCATTATAAAAAGGAAATCATTTATATTACTAATCATATACGTACATATACGCGTATATAAGAATGTATGTAATAAAATCTTAGAATGGTGGAGTCTGTACATATATCTTGCATGTATTTTTTATTATTTTACTATAAATTCTTAACATTGCAGGCTTTTGATTATCTGTATCAAATTACTTTTATGAAACAAACCACCCTTTAAATTATGTTTATCTTTATTTCTATTGTAATGATTTACATTATGGGTGAATATGGTACAATCTCCCTTATTCAAGTATTATTAAGCAGTAAAGATAAAAAAAATCATTTTTACTAAGCATTATTATTCATTGGTTATGTAAGGTCAAACTAACAATGGGTCAAGTAAATGCTACATAATGACTTTAAACGAGTTGTTTGTTTGATTATCTGTAGGTAATTCGCATTTCGCTCCAAATGATTATTAGACTTTTCGAATAAATTGAAGATAGCTACCTATTCTACCCTATTTAGTATAATGAGGTTTACCAATTCATAGTACAAAGTTTAAAATACAGTCTCTCTGAAATTCGCTTATTTTCATTATTCGCATTATTAATGATATTTTAGAATAAGTACGCATATATATATATCAGCAGTCACTATACAATATGCATAAAGATTAACCATTTTAAACCAAAAAATTTAAACCTCGCATGATTTATAAATAGAAATATATTTTTTAGAATATTATTTAGCACTAATAACACTTGTATTCACTATTATTAAACATCTTAATCAGTTTTCCTTGACGCAAGACAGGTTCAAATATTATTTTACTCAATTTTAAATACACCAAAATATTTAGGTATATTTATAATTACTGAAGATATGAGTGCAGCTTGTATGTACGTAGTTTGTATTTACCGGAAGTCATAAAACATAGATTTATCATTGTGAAAATGTTTTTATATGATTTACTAATTGTCTGAAGATGAAGCGCGGGTGGCACACGGTAGCGGGCGGTACTGCGACGGCCGATAAGATAAGGATTAAACACAATGTGTCACACGCTGTCACTTGCGAGCGTTGAACACACGTTCTACCAACCTGCCACATATTGTCTTGTATACAAATAAACTACGTAATGATAATAAAATTATCGCAAAAAAATGCATCTGTTTGTAAGCAGTCCGCCCTTGTCTACTCTACACGGAAGGTAGGATACATAGACTAGATAGATAGATAGACTCCATTGCCTGCAATCTTACAAACTGTAGAATGACGCGGAAAAAACATTAGGAGCCCAGTTCTAAAATCATAATTACTGTACCCTTATAAAACCATAATATTAATATTAGTTAAAAAACTACAGTTACATGTGTTTTTTACGAATAAATCTCATTTCATTGTCTACCTTTTGGCAGGTTTTACCGTAAAAGAGTCAGATTCAGAGAGGAATCAAAGTCCCTCTAATAATTTATAATTATAATTGACACTTTCACAATCAAATTATTTTAATGACTACACTATGCTATAACGCGTTATAAAAAATATTTACATGTATTAAAAATAAAAGCAGTCAATTAATTCATTTCATTTTTGTTTGACCAGGTCCTGCAACTTGGACAGAGAAGTTCCCAGAAGCGAGAGGGGCTCGTCAAAGCCCCGTGGATATAGACACGTCCCGAGCTAGCAGTGGCGGAAGCGCACCACCACTACTATGGAGATACTCAGTTAACCACACACGCTCTGTCGTCAATCCGGGGTACTGTTGGCGAGTCGATGAAAACGGCTATGACTCAGGTCTGTATAGAAAGATTTTGAAAGTAGGATACTAGGAGGGTTTTCAAAATATAACCAATGTAAACGATAATAATAGAATAATAAATTTAATTAAAAATCATTTAAAGTTTAGATTGGCTAATAATGGCACAAAAACTATACACAGGAACCAATTTTTCTTGCGAAACTAGTTTCACTTCAATTGCACGTGTATCAACAATTTCACGTAGAAAATCATTTGATACATTTGTAATGCAGACATTAATTTCAAGACACTAAAATAGTTTAGTCTTCTGCGTGATTTTTTTATAAAACTAGTATCACTACGCATACAATTTCATAATTTATTTCTAATTTCAACATCAACATGACGTGAATACGTCTTCAAAGCTTTTTATAGCGATAAACCCATGATGCTAACGAAATTGTAATTATCACTAAATAGAACTAACTTACAGAATTTGTTTTATAAGGTTAATTTACATTTCCAAACCTGTTTTTTAATGCATGATAAATCAGATTTCAAATAGGTACATTGAAACGATGCATACATACATACTTGAAAAGGAAGTTGTAGGTAGGTGATCCAATTTGCATTTCCATCGCACTGGAACTGGAAGGACGCGGTTCCCCTAGCGATGAGTCACAATCTTCCGGTCTCATTCTCTCACACCTAGCTTGTTTATTCGTTTCTAATGCAAACATCCAAACATATTTTATAACATTTTGAAATCTATATACTCAATAGACAAGAACATTAGCAAGCCAGCAGTAAAATAATAAAAGGTGACAATTTAAAACAGCTTGTGAAAAAGTCTATTTGAACAAAGATTTTTATTCTGTTCTGTATATACGTATATACAGAACAGAATAAAAACAATCTACATTTATAAAATTATTTGTCTTGAATCCTGACTGATTACGAATAGGCGAAACTATTAAATCTAGAAAACTGAAATTTGGAACACCAGTTTATTTTATAACATAAAAATCCTAATAATTTTAATATTTAAGTATATTAATTTTTGAAATAATAAGTTTTGAAATATTCAACTTAAACGTAAACGGCGATAGGAGGTTAGTGCAACACCACGTGTATAAAACCGCGGACAATTGCTAGTACAGGATAAAATCGAAATCATTAAAATTTTTAAATGATTGTTCTACTATTGAAACAGAATATTTTTTCAATGAAACGACGATCAAAAACAAAAATTTTGAGTCTTCCATATTAATGTGAAAGATGAATACGATATGCGACGTGGAGGGGGTTCAAAATGTTGTTTTTCAACTAATATTTCTATGTTAAAATGTTTACTTTTGTTGGTAAAAAGAACACATCCTTAAAATGGTGCTAATAATTTCGTCTTCACCTGTATAGCAATTAGCAACTTAGGAGAACCTTTGCTAGTAATAGTTAGGTAGTAATTATTGTAGTAGGTGGTCCTTTTTGTTAATCACTAACCTTTAACATGATAACGTCATGACATAGCATACGACGATAGCACCGGCGATAGTAAGTAACGAAGACCACCGTCATGTCCAAATAACATCGTTAGTCTAGTTGTTACAATTGTCAATATACTACTTCATAACTACCTACTTAACACTATTTTAATCGTTATCATCAAATTCGTACTGATTAATAGGATAACAAGCCATTAATTAGTAATGTTTACTATTATTTACATACTTAAATACGTAATGTGTACAACTAATATATTTTACATACACATTTCATATTATAGCGAAAATCTTTAAATCCTTCCCCTTATTTTTCTTTGTAAACTTTTCATAGCCTGATTTACCATTTATTTTGTATAGACTGGTTTTGAAATTTCATTGAGATGAAATTAAGATGTTTAAAAATGTAATTAATATTAAATTAACAAAATTAGGTAGTATAGGACATTAAAAACAGTTCACAATTGGCGAATTTGTCACGGAATATATTTAAAAAAACACAATAGATAGGTAACTTTCTCCCTTTTAAAATATGTGTTAAGTATATTTTATTTCGTATATTAAAGACATGACTGCCCTGTCAAATAACATACTATTTTTAAAATGTACCTACCTATAACTAGCATCATTGAGGATGATGTAAGGGTCGTAATGATACAGAATACATCCAAATATGTTCAGGAATTTAAATGATATGGTGGAAGTGGAATAAAGAAATTGTATGTACACATATGAACCCTCATAACTTACTATCACTCGTTTTTTAGACAGTTGTGCAAAAAAAATTAATAACGAGTTGTTGTATCAGCCGTTGTTGAACATAGCCTCCCCCAAATGGAGGGGGGGGTGCCAGTAGTTGCCACGTTTGGCAGGCGGATTGGCAACCGCAGTTAGACCTTTAGTAATGTTTTAAAAGAGACGCTGCTTCCCATCCCTCTACCATATGCTCCCTTAGTCGCTTCTTACGATACAGACGGGAAAGGAAGTGGTGGCCTATTCTATGCCAGAACCTACACGGCTATAATAACGAGAATAGAGCAATAATTCTCATTAAATAATTTTATTTTCAGAATTACGTGGCGGCCCACTTGGATCTGATGTTTATAAACTACAACAGTGGCATTGCCACTGGGGTGCAGTCAACGGCGAGGGCTCAGAGCATACAGTGGACGGCCGCTCCTTTTCTGGGGAGCTACACCTTGTGCACTGGAACACCACTAAATATCACAGCTTTACCGAGGCCGCCGGACAGCCTGACGGATTAGCAGTCTTGGGAGTTTTACTAATGGTAAATATATATAATAAACAGTTATTCAGAGAGTAGAATAGATGATAGTGTAGATAATGTCCATTGAAATGTTTCAACAAAAACGGTCTAGAGGTAGACCATCAAACCATAAACCATCTAGATGTATGTAATCTAGATATTACAATATCGTTAATGATAAATGTTGAAATGCTGGCTAGCTCATCTATGGTTGTAATCATGAGCACGTTTTTTAGGTATATTTAGTGTCTCTTATTGTATATTTTTAGGGTTCTGTAAAGTCCGAGTCATATGCCAAAGAAGTCTTATTATTTGTCACGGACTTCTAAAATCAAAATTAGATATAGACTTATAAATATTTACTAAAAGATATATACGAGCCGCGACCACACATTTCCACAATTGTAGAGATATGATTAAACAAGGGGTAGTTTTAAAATATTTTTTTAAAATACATTTGCATTGTCTTATTAATAAAAAGCTAGTACCAGATTGATTGATAATATAAAAGTCAAATAGAGGGTTGACATACTTTAAACTTTTTCGACACTAGAAACTTATGCCAGCATAATTGAGCCTCACGAATGTGATTATATTATTAAAAAGATATATTCATCACAAAAATCGAAACCAAACATCAGAACCATAATGTTTTGTTTTTTATAATGGCCAACCAACTTGTTTCAAATGAATGTAGGTACAGATCCAGTCATCATAAGCTTCAGCCATATTTACATCGTAACAGATGCGAATAGTACGTCCATACCTAAATATATGTATTTCCGTACACAGTTTAACCACTGGACAGTGCTTCTAATGTTACAGTAAGGAATGTGCACTGCATGTGTTCGTTTTGTTTTTTTTTTTTTAATGAGTTTAATTAATAATGAAATATTATCCCGCCTGAGCTAACGGTATACACTGGGGGAATACCAGTGAGGGATGATACATGAGGATGAAAAGGCAGGTCAATTAGCCTTCTGTGATGCATTCACCTGGAATTAAGCGCGATAATTAAGCGTTATCACGCTTAATTCCAGGTTATATATGATAGCGGATTTTTTTGGGTTCTCTTTGTCTACGTTTATATTATGTAGCCTGTAGAAAATCCCAGTACTAAGTAATGGCAACCTTTAATAAATAAATAAATCAGTTATCCACGTCGTCTGTATTTATTATTATTAACATAAATATTAAACAATAGTTATTTGGTCATAATACAATATCTTTAGATATTAAGTTTACACACTCCGTCACTCATGAAATTTAGACTGTGATTATAGATCGACGCCGACGCCGACCCACAAACATTTGTTTTTGTCTAAGTTTTTTGTAATATAACAAAACCCTGTTTTAAACCTTTGTACTTATTATACAAATGACATCAGTAAAAAACAGGTATGTACATTATACCTACATAAAATTTTTGCGACTCTACATTTTTGATAATCCATAATTATCAAATAATTAATTTTAAATTAATAATAATGTAAAATATTATTTAAAAATTATATATTTTGACGGGTTGTCCTATTTAACGTCACTTCTTTATTTTATTTACCTTCTTTATTAATAATGTCTACTCGTGCATAAAAACAAATTTGAACGTTGTTATTTTTGGGATGATTTTATTTGCTGTCTAAAATTGATATATATCCGCATGACAAGGCCTACAACGCAAAAAGTGTATGTCGAAAAAATATGCTACTCATTATAACAGTAGGTATCCATTTTTTGCAACACTTAGGAATATCCTAAAATTAAGTTACACCAAAGTTACTTCGAAATTAAACTGATGCTTACTTTAACAAAAAAAAAAATTATAACTATATAATAGTTAGAAAATTTGTAAGAACTTAATTTTCGTTTAGATACTATTATTTCTAGACGAAATATTTAGATGTATATAAATAGAATAATCTATATGTAATAGAATTTAGTGAAAGCCGGTATCGTTGTTTATTAAAAAATTTAATAATAAATATAATTTATTAAAACTGGACCGCATCATGATCAGTGCTATTCTATTCATTCAGATAATAAGAATTACTATGCAATGCAAATGTATAATATACCTTCGTATAAGCTTCATTGACCATTTGCAATTCAAAATTTATGTTAATAAATTAAAAAATTGTTGTTTATCGAAGGTACGTCAATGACTGGTATACGAGCACGGGCAGCTCTTCAGGCTGGTATGACGAAATTATAACGGGCCACTTTGGTCATTGGTGCGGAATGACACAATTTAAAGGAAATGACCCTAGAAATGACATAATTTGTATGAATCAATTTGAAAAAGTGTTAGAACAATAATTCTTCCTGTCTGTACATACCTACAAGATATTTTTTGGTAATTTCAGATAGACTCGAAAAGTTTCATTTTTTGTCGTACGTGTAATTTTATTACCATATTTTGATAATTATATACATTCATAAATAATATATTTGTTAATATATTATCAATTCTTCATAAAGCATATACTCAACTGTAGATGTAGTGAATAGACTGTTGTCTTTCCAATCACCTATGTTTATAAACGCCCGTTTACGATCTAAACAAGATATATCGTAATTTGAAATGATCCTAATTTTGTTCACTTACGATTTTAGTCATATTTACAAGAAAGAAGGCTAGAGCCAAGACTTATTTTAAAATAACTATTTCCTGTGGTTTTGCCTGCCTGAATTATAATAAAAATAATCCTATATATTAATCCAGTTAAGGTTCATCTTTGCATCAACTTACATTCAAATCTCTCATTAGGATGATTGAGGAAAAAACATCTAAACATACAAACATCTTACAAACTTTCACATTTAAATATTACTTAGTAGGATGTTAAAATGTAATGTCTAGTGTAATCTAGCTGACTCAACAAACTTTTTTTCCTTATACCGCCACCTACTGGATCCTTTTTTCCTTATCAAGATAAACTATTCTATCTCTCAAATTAAAGCAAAAACATTTACAAAATTTCATTAAAATCGGTTGAGTGCTTTCAGAAATATGTGTAAAAGAACATCATAACGCAGAATTTTTATAGATATACGAGTAATAACATTTAGGTGCGGTTTCCTGGTTTTAAAATAATGTTATTATGATAACTTTCAATTTTGTAATATATATATAATAAAGAATATAGAAATACGTATATAAATTTATAATAGAGATAAAAATATTTCTTCACACTCAATAATACTTGTTTTAAATAACTAGCTACTAATAGTTAATTCAATTTTTGCACACCGCGATTTGTAGGAATATTAAATACTTACGTGTACTTACCTGTTTTATGTAGGTTCCTATTTGTGATGGTAGCTGTGCCATGACGCAAACAGAACGTTAGGTTGATTGTTTATTTCCGTCATATGTACAACAAATTGTACGTTAATACGTGTGGAATACCGGTGGCCGATCAGTGTAACTAGCAGAATCATTCTCTCGGCTTCCGAGAGAAACTTTCTCTCTGTTGGTTGCTACCGGTGCTCGGTGCACGACAGACGGTGACAAAAGAGTTATTTTCCAAATGCATACTTATCTATGCTCTTAGCGATATAACAAAAATCTCACATGTAAATTAATATAACATAATAATAATTATTGACATATATGTAATTATTTCTAACTTAAAATCTGATGTTTAGAAATTTTTTATTCTCAAAGTCCGAAATAAATATATTTATAAATTTACTAATATAAATATACCCAAGTAATAATAAATATACCCAAGTAGAAGAAAATTTAATAAAGGTTAAGTAGGTGTTAAGAAGCCATGCAATTCAATCCCTTTAACTGCACTGCGCTGTTGTATTACATTATACAGGTATCACCATATTATTATGTAGGTTCTAATATAGATATTTTTATGAAATACTGAAAATACCTAAAATTAATATAATATAATGATGAAAATGTAACAAGTAATTTATTATATTGTTTTGGTAATTTTCTAATCAACTGTATCTTTTTTGTATGTATGTTACAGGGAATCTTCGTCAATTCTAAATATTTTTCAGTGATTGTTTGTGATCAAAAGCTTTCACTCCTGTGTTGATCCAGTGCAATTTACCCAAATTTAAAATTGTTTCGTAAATCAAAATTTTACAAGAATGAATTTCTTTTTTCAGGTTGGAAGAAAACATAATGAATTGGACAAAGTTATAAAACTCTTACCGTACATTCAGCATAAGGGCGACAAAGTGACTATGGCAGACCCATTGGATCCAGCGAAGTTACTACCGCATCGCGAAGCGTACTGGACCTATCCTGGCTCGCTTACTACACCACCTTGTACTGAATCGGTCACATGGATCCTCTTCAAAGATCCCGTGGAAGTATCTGCTGAACAGGTAAGACATAGATAGCATTTTTCTAAAACGCACATCTATTCATATATATCCTATACAAGGACTTTATTTCGTATCTAGTCCAAATATACCGGTTTTTATGTGTTTACAAAAAACATCTACTAACTAACACGACGTGTTAGCAACTCGACCCACTTAGCTAGTAGGTATCTTTAGGTACACACTTTCGAATTTTGTATGTACTTTAAATAATAAAAAAACAATAAAATAGTAAAACAGACTCCATGTAAGAGAAAGGCTATAATGTGCAACAACAATCTCATATCCAATGACAATATTTATCGTTCAAATTAGGAAGTCAACCTCTAGAACTTGATTCGAAATAAAAATTGTTTTTCTTTATATAATAAACAAACGAGTACAACGTAAAGTTAACAATAAATTATATTCACGTCTTTTGTTGAAATTTTGTATTATTATACCTGTTCCTGTACATAAAAAGAAAGAACGAAGAAACTGACATGTAACTCAAATTTATATAGCTTTAAACTATCCGTTTCGTATAGGCATTAAAAGCGAAATCGTCGTTCCGCATAATGATTACTTCACCTAATACCTAATATGTTATATAAATGGAGCTGACTCAACATAAATACATGCTGATGTCAGACTGCAATTTTAGTGACAAATTTTATATTAAACTATATCTTACAAAACTATTACCTATATTTCTACCTCTTTCATAATTCATACATACAGTTGAATATGCAACTGCACATGTATATAATATGATCAAATATACATTTATTGTATGTGAAATGACACATATTAAAATACATAGCACAAACATACATACAAATATAACAATGTATGCAGAAACCTAAAAGAAGATATTTTCCAGCAATCCTTGCAATGTTACATTAAGGCTGCCAATTTTTTACTTTAAATCTATAGTAGCTATTCTTTTAATGTTTATAATATCGAATGTTATGCAGAATAGTTATTGGAGTGCAAATTTGATGCTGTTTTATGTAATATTTATTTTACTAATGTATTAATTTGTAAACTGTTACTTTGCTATAAATAAATAGAACTTGCTCACATTCAATATTAACTTATATTGTCAAATTTAATGTTTTTTTATAATAAGAATTTTATATAAAGCTTCGATTGGTATAATTTCAGTTGTCACTGATGAGGAAACTGAGATGCGGGGAGGCGTCGTGCGGTGTCGAGGCCATGGAGCTACTACACAACTACCGCCCCACGCTGCCGCTCGGCAACCGTGAGCTAAGGGACTACGGGGGCAACTAACCTGATGACACCTGCCTAGCAAAGGACCATTAGTGAACAATCATTTCGCTTTAGAAGCACACTGATGCTATTAGAAATACAAAATGTGACAGTATGTGAACTTCCTAAGCGGCGCAACAAAATGTGATATTAATCATAATCGCCGCATGTAGGCGTGTGTGTTATGTGCTTGCGTGATCTGTAAAAAGGTACTTACCTACTGTTTATATTGATAATGACGACAACCAACCTGTCGATAAAATATTTCAGTAATAATTTTAAAATAAATTGGATAATTAATAATTGAGACTGACTCAATACATTAGGAGAAGGTGCTTAATACTATTAATTTTCAATTTTTTTCTCTAAATTATATTATGATCAGACGTCACATTAATCAATATTGTCACAAGCAATTATAAAAAAAATGTGTAACGCATTTTTAATATAAAATTTAAAACAATTGACCATTTTTACTTGAAACCAGTTTAAGTTCAACTAATTTATCATAAATGTAGAGTTATTAAGTGAATAGACAAGTGCCTTAAGGCTATGCAGAAGCCTTATGTTTCTCAGTGCTTATATTTTCTAGGCATGTATTTTATATAAAAATAGCCTAAGATATCCATCGGTGTAGAAGTCGGGTTTGACCATAAAACATTATTCACTGGGGCTGTTTACGTAGGTATATATATTTTAAAACATTTGTAATAAACGCAATACCTATATTTATTACGTCCATACGTGCCTACTTTTAAGAGTTACTATTAGCTGTTAAGATTACCATATGAAAATATAATTAAATTGTACAATGTGTGTTTATTAACAACAGTCAATATACTTATTTTAATTATACTTTTTAAAATTATAAGAAATTATTAGTCCAAAACAAATTATAAGTAGATAGTAGAAATCCCTCTATTATGTGCGTACAGTCAACTCAAAATATTTTGTTATTTAGTTTTTATAACATATTTTCGTTCACAGTACCTAAAAGTAATAATACTTAAGGTCATATAATGCTGACTGTACAATCATGTAGAGAAGAACGAGTCAATGAGTCACAGAGCTATAGAAGACATCTAAAGCTCTCTAGACTGGACCTTTAATATGTGAAATTAAAAAATTTAAATTTAGAAGCAACACGGAGCCTGTGCAGACAAGATAACCCTTGGGATACTTCTTTGTGAAATTTCTACACATATCGACTGAACTGTATACTTGGCTCGTATGATAAACGAGTCGAATTATATACTACAACCCTACATGTAAATTTAAATCGTTTATGCACGAGTCTTTGCAAGGACACGGTTTATAAAAAGGAAAATGTGTACTGTATATCTGTGCAAGCCCTAAGAATCTATTGTTTTGAAAACAACCTAAATTTAAAAATTGAGGTCCATCCTGATTTATTCGTCACACTATATGTGATACGATACTTATATATTTTGTAAAATAATATTGTTACCTTTTAAAGTAAATATGTGCCTCGAATAATAATTACGTTCACGTCACAGTTATGTTAACTGTTTCGTAGAACAATGCCTGCAGTATATACGTAAATAGGTAAGTGTTGATTATTTATGAGTTAATGTTTACTTTGTAGATTATCGTAGTATTTGCCAGCGTACCAACAATAAATAATTTTCACAAAATTTGATTTTTTTTTTCGAAGTAAAATCATTACCTACCTAAATCTATATATTGTTACTAAATTATATTTGTTTATTTTTTAAATCAGAAATCAATTCAGACTATGACACAATAGCTAAAAAGCTCATATAAATTAAAAAATTGAAAAGAAAGTACTTAATCACACCATTTAGATACAAATTAACGCCAACTTAGATACAAACTAAAACATTAAATTCTGAACTCTTAGGCTACATCTGTGATGGGGGCTCCGTTTTACGTATAAAATAGATTATTATATTTCAAAATTTAATTTTAGAATTATAAATTTAATTGTCTATTATTACATTTTTAATCATTTTACCAAGTATATATTGATATATACTGTGTTGGCACAGTATTTAAAATGGCTGTAAATAATTATTCTTGTTTTTGTTTTCAACACTAGTTTTTTTGACTAAGGAGAATCTCTAGCCTTGGCGACAATGCTAATAGGAAAATTTCAGCACATATTGGTAGAAAATTAAGTACCGAATTTTCCATTTACCTAATTTTATAAACAATTATGCCTAATTCTGGCAACACTCCGGTTATGGTGGGAACCCCTTTGTAGTGGAGCCACTGTGGAGGTTCATAGCCTATATTTAAATGCGACGCTGACTAAAATTGACAATACTCGCAGTTCGCTATTTTTTTTTTTTTAAATAGTTATAGTCTACCAATCAGCATAAATATTTTGCTTTTTCCCATTTATTTAGAGTCGACGCAGTGCTTTTTCTTCTTTCTCAAATTCCTATAAACCGTCATACCTGGGGTCACTCTTTTATGTATATTTTCTTCACACAGTCCATGCACCATTTCTTTGGTTATCCTCTTCCTTTACAACCATCCACTTTCATTCTTAATACCTTCTTTAAAAATGGTTTTCAATCTTACCCATTACATGACCATACCAAGTAATCTATTACTTCTCAACTCCTCTGTTTTTGGTGCTGCTTTAAGACTTCCCCTTACATACCCAATTTATTTTCTTTGCCACGTGTATTCATGTTTCATATATCTTAATGTTGTCCTATAAGGGCTAACCTTTGATTCATATGTAGTAGGACAACAGGTCTTATATAATATTTTTAAATTTGATTCTTCAGTTTGTTAGAAGAGCATTCTAGGGTTACGTATTGTTCCCGAAACATGCCACATTTACAATTATCCAGCGCTAATTCTGCACCTAATTTCACGATCTATATCGGCATTGTTAATAATTGAATAGAGGTAATGAAATTCGGAACAGACTGCTTGTGGTACACCATCAAGAGCAATAGGCATGTTGTAGACGACCAATATTATATTTCTTTATTAACCAATGTAATAGTTTTCGTCACACAATGGCAAGTCAATATTTACATTATAATTTTTAAATTAATAAAATATAAAGTTTATTGTAAATGAGGATAAATTTAGATAGTACCCCACAAAGAAGACAGACTAATTGTAAAAATGTATTTTCATTTAAAAACTAATTTACTGAACTGATTAAAAAAAAGCATGTATGGGACCAATCTGTAAATATATCCTTTTAGATAAAGAATTTTTCAAATCGGTTTAGAACTGACTGAGTTATGAGGTAACAAACATAAAAAATAGAACTGAATTGAGAACCCCTTCTTTTTGAAGTAGAGTGAAAATTTCAATAAAAATTCACAAGTAATTAATTAATCAATTTATTAAGTTAGTTAAACTATTTCCATATAATTGTCATTTAAACGATATAATGCAAGCATGCATAGCAAAATAAATATATTACCATACTTAACTAAAAATATTGCAAATATGAAACGTAAAATTAGTATAAAATGTCAAAAAATATACATTTGAACATTACAAACAATAATGATGAATCAATAAAAAATATAATGAGAACACTATTACAAACACCTTTTCCATTTTATTATTCCCGCCATAGTAAGCTCGTAATAACATCAAAATACGCAGGATAGTAATGTTTAATTAATTTATATGTTAGCAGTTTCTCGCGACTTCGTGAGTAACCTCTGTATATTTTTTTTTTTTTTTTTATATTTTTTAATAAATAAACATTTAACTACATCCTGTGAGACTTCAAAAAATAAAGACGTCAAGTGGTATATTTCGTGATAAAAAGTTGGGTTAATACCTACAAAGTAATATGATATTTGTATTTTAAGCAGTAGGTCGTTTATCCCTTTTCCCCTTGATGTACCCTACTTTGTTCACACTGGTAATAGTGGGATACAATACACTGGAGGCGAGGAAGGATTTAACGATTATCATGTCTTTAAGATTTTAAGGGGAAAGATTGAAAATTCTATCATATTGGCTAACGTAATTATGTTGTGCCAAACAAAGAAACTCGTACTAGAAGCCACGTATTATTCGCAATGCCTAAGACTAAAAGAAATTTGCTCCAACAGACACTTTTCGTTAGAGCACTTGTTTTATTAGATATTTCAGATAGAGGTACTGCTCTCTTTACATGATCTCTGACGGAATGCACAAGGGCTGGAATGTTCACTATGTTATTGTAAAATCTGAACCAATGTTGTCTGTTGCACCTAGTCGATTCAGGAACTATCTTATAAAAGCAAGGTGAAAAGGAAATAACTAAATAATTTATAGCCAACAGATAAACATTAATTTATGTATTTCTAACCTCCATAGCTAATTATTGTTAAAATTTCGACTTATGACTTTACTATAGTACCTACTTTATAAAAGACCATTAAAAGAACTTAGTTGGTAACAAATGTGAGCTGTCATGAAGATAATAATAAAATGGATACCACTATGCTAACAAGATGTAAGCTTGTTACATATGTCAAAGGATCAATCCTACATAGTCACATTCTTTTTAAAATATACAGCAGGTCTACCATGAAATGTTTTCATTCTAATTCCACAGTATCTGATCCAAATTTCGTGGAACCCGTGTCCCCATACCGATACCATTTCATTCATTGTAAACCCTAAGGACCATAGCAAATATTGTCCTAAATACTATGCAGTGAATGTATAAAATTATAAACGATCAAAACATTCCATTTCTACCAATTTGTATATATTACAGTAATTCTATCATGATATTAGTATAGTTCATGTTTCGTTCGGCTCGGAAATTTCTGATTGATTTACAAAATAGACAAGCTAAATTAGTTAGGTATATATCCACTTTATTGTACAAAAGTTATAAATATACATATAATTACATATACATATAGCTACATATTACATATCACAATCTTTTAGGATGTATAAAAATTTATCAAAAACAGTGAAAGGAACGAATTAATGTTTACATACTATTTTAATTAGATTCCATAATCAGTTCCACGTCACTTCCGTGATGCAAAATTATTAAATATATGTATATATATTTGACACAGATATATTTGTCAAAAAATGGGTTGACCTGTGACCAGGACATGAATCTAATTTGATTACCAAATGAATGCAAATTTATTTAATTTTTCGAACCAAATTAAAAGACTTATTGCCATATAGCCTCTTTAAAATGATTTAATGTATTAATATTTAAAACATACACAAAGTCTATTGGTACAAACACAAACATATTTATCACATGTTTAAACGAATGTCTTTTTATTTCTATGTCAATATAGATAGATATATTACTATTTTGACTAGAATTTATTTATATAATATAGAACCTTGTGCTTGCTTATCTACAATAAAACTAAATAATCTCATATTTGACAGTGATTTAAAATTATTATTGTAGTTACAATCTCGTTAATTTCATATTTATTTTGATTGAGTACTGTAGTCAATAGCACCTTATTAGTAAAAACATTCCGATTTCATTTGTTGTTCTTAAATTAAGACTTATTCGAGATTTCACGAATTATATCGTAATAAACAAGGTATTTGATTCATTTCATATTTCGTTTGTTTATGTTTCACTAGACGTGGCCACGAGCAGACTGGAATAACGTGTGTGTACTAAACACGAAAAATTAAAACTAAATAAATACTTAGAGAAACATTGTAGTAGATATTGTACCTATTTCTACTAAAACAAGCGCCGATTACCAGTTCCATGAATGTGATTTGGTCGTGATGATTTATCTTATATTAAATATAAGCATCGAATTTTAATCTCCAATATTCAATTAGATGGCTATATAACATAATTCACTTAGGTGCATTTTCAGTAGCGAAAGAGGAATTTAATGCCACTTCTACTAAATAGTATTATAGATACAAAAACTCAGACATGAACCAAAAGATAAATATTTATTAATTAATAACCTATTTATAAGATATATTGTATTTGCATAAAATCCTAGAACTTGTATAGTAAGTAAAAAAATATATCAACATAATAATCAACATATAGTACTAAACTGATAGTTTAATATAATGTAACTGCGTGTAACTGCGATCATGCATATTCTTGTTTTGCAATAACTTAATCAGTATGAAAAACATTTTATGATATTTTTTTATCTATATATTTTTATTCAAATTTTTTTTATATGAGAGCTGTTGTTATGTCCAGTTCAAAAAGGTCGAATAAACTTATTTATAAAGTTTATACTATCTATATAGTTTTAATCACAACTACAAAGTATTGTCGACTGTTATCTACGGATATTGCGAGTAAATAAACTTAGTTATTCCAAGTATTAATTCGACCATCTTAGAGAAGTACGTCTGTGCGACCATGTTCCATCCATAATATTCCCATATAAACGTAATAAATATAAATTTCTTCAATTTGCTGCAAAATCGTTTCATCATTAAAAACAAAATCTTATCAGTGTTAATAAACTTTAGAGTGACACAGAGATTATTAAGTACGCACTAATAAATTATATGTTTTATAAGCACGTTATTTTTTAATTCAACGATCTCGTTTAAAATCACTGGGAAGAACGAAAAGACATTATTCGGCTATCAAATGCTTTATCCATCATCGACAGTATTACATTGCTTTTTGTTACGACACTTGTAACAGTCCTGTGTTAATTTCATTTACTGCACATTTATTGACACTAATGTTGTTTATTCAGATAATATTATTATGCACCTATGTATACAATAAATCTGGGAACCACGAATGTATCACAAACTTTTTATTATTGGTAAATCAAAAATATATCAATAATAAAAAGTGCTAGTATAAAGATTACTAAAACAATATTATTTTACGGAAACATGATAGTAAGTTTCAATATTATTACCATATACAACAATAATACATATAACCACCTAACAATAAGTGGAATATTTTTGATGATAATATAATTTTTTGGTTTATAGTTTTTGTCTGTGATATTCTAAAATATTTGATTATATAATTAAGTATAAAAAAGATAACTTTGTGTAATAAATTGTAACTATGATTACTACAATCTTTCCGTTATTTACTTAATTATATTGAGCACTAAAACATAATGGCAATTTTTTAGAAAGTAATCTTCCATTAGATAATAAAAAACCGGTCAAGTGCGAGTCAGATTCCTATACAGAGGTACTATACCTATCTATAAACGGATATCCTTTTACATAGTTGAACTATTAATTATTAATACTAATTATTAGGATCGGTGCGACTTAATTTTTTTTCTCAATCCTATTTTTTTTAATCCTGTAAAAACTATTTAAACTATTTATTTTATGTTTACAGATACGTTATCAATTGGTCTCTATTATTTCATTCTTTTTGGATATTTGGATTATAAATTTCGATGGATTTGGATTATATATATCATACAGAAAAGCTGGCATGAAAATATATAAATTAAAAAATAACTATTTAGAAATATGCGTAAACTACTTCAAGTCTCCGATAATTATATAAGGTGAAATCGAAATACTAATTGTCTTTCGGCCCGTTTCTGTACAAAAAATGTTCTTACTTTTACTTATAGTAAAAAAATTGCCAAACTTCTAACCAACACATTTATATAGGCTAACAAATACAGTCATTACTTACATTCCATTTTGGTACGGAACACCGAAACGGAGGATTAGTAATTACTTAATTAAATAAATAAAACAAGTATAATCCCACGTTGTTCGGCCCGTCATAATCACATAGGTAGCCTTACTATTTACATGACATACTCAACAAACTGTAGTACCTACATTCTTATTAGTTATAATAATATTTTCCTTATTAGTGACCAAATTGCTGTGCCTAAACATTACTTGTACAATACAATACATAATATAAAAAAAATGACTGGACTGTTTTGCCTTTTGTGATGTATGTTATGATAGTCGAATTTACCGCTGTGATTTAAAAAGGTAAAGTATCACATTTTACTTAAAAGAAAATGCTAATTACAGGGCAAGTTATTTGTTATAATTTATTTAATAGGTGGGATATAATACACTCAAATAATCTGTTTACTAAAATTGAATAAGATCTTTCGACACATCTAGTTGCTTATTACTACTGTCCTCTTTTTTATCGTCGCGAACTTCTAAATATTTGGGTGAGACTTTACGTTTAGGTGGTACAGGTGTTTCATCCAGTATACTAGTCGTGGCTAATATTTTGCTATGTTCAGTAAACACTTTGCCTATATTGTTGGTGTCGGAGCGTGCGCTCGCAGGTGACAACTTAGTCCGAACTGGAGGACTAGGTGCCGCCCGTGAGAACGGTGGTCGGTTGTCAAAAATTGTTGGATCTATTGCGTTTCGATTTTCGTTAAATAGTGCTGAAGTTTTACTTCTTTCTAAAGCAAAATTATCATTTGTTTTGTGTTCATTTATTTGTGAGGTCTGATTATATTCACCGGTATAGAAAGTTGCTTTCTTAGAAGACTCTAAGCGAAAATGTCGATGTGCTTGTATATCAGATTTACTTCTTTCAAGCGTAAACGCACCATTTGTATGGAGATGACAGCTGAAAGATGATGTATTCACAGTGCACGCAGGCGTTGTGGAGAAAGGGATCGAAGGTGCCCAAAGACATGCGCCTTCATTTCTTGGCACTAGAAGCAGCGGATCCTGTGTTTTTAAATAATTATAAATAAAGTACTAACAAGTAAATATGAAGCCTAAACTTAAAATTGGTTAGAGATGCCTTATGTGCTTTACATTGGCCACCTACCTATGTTCTGGATAATGAGGACGTTTTAATCCATTCAATTGAGACATAAGCAAATGCAACAATCTCCCTAGTGGTGTCAGATACTCTGATGTATACATTACATTGAGCAGTGTATTGCTGGTGGTAGAGTACTATTACATATTCTGTGGTAGTATGAGGAAGCTCCAACATACACAATGTATTAAGGAAATTATGAGAATATCCATAAAAAAACCAGTAACCAAAAATCAGCTAATACTAGATGAAATAAAAGTACAATGACCTTAAATTAAGTAGAGTTACAATTTCAAATATGTTGTATGGGAAATAATAGATATTAGATTGCTCAGGAATATTCCTTATTGTGCTCTAAGGGGAAAGCCTATGTTTAGCAGTAAACAATGTTACTTGTAATTTATTTTTAATACGAAGTTTACAAACAGGCATACCACTCACCTCATAGTAAGATATTCATAACTAATGTGAATAATGACTTCTGCTTTTAATTCAATTAATACTAACCTTGCCTGTTATAGAATATATTTTTGATTGAAGTACATAAAGGCGATTACGCAAGTACTCATAGGAACATTCTCTAAGTTTCATAACCCACTGGACAACATTATCCTCTGCTCGCGCTGCAAAGAGGTGCCGTTTTTCGGGTTCATCTCTGTAATTAAAGTAATTTATTACAAAGTATTAGAATTGGGTATCTGTTAACATTTGAGCAAAAACATCCTTATAAACTTTCAGATTTATAATATTAATAGTATTTGGATGCATTCCATTACAATGGAAGGTGTGAAGTGCTCCTCTGCCCATATTCAACTTACAGTTGAACATAAATAATGACTATGGAACCTTAAATATGTAAAATGAGTATTTCTACTACAGTAATAAAAAAATAACACATTATAAAAAATAAAAAACTTACATAAATGATATAGAAAACGAAAATGGTATGCTTTGACCATGTTCCATCTGAATAGATGAATTTTCCATCACAAATATTCCAGCTGGGTTTTTTGTATCAAATTTGCCCATTTCACTTATTTTGAAATAGAATAAATAATTATTGATAAGTCGAAACCATCTTTCTTTAAAAACTGTAAATAAAAATTTAACAATGATTAATTGTTTCATATTTTTCAGACCACTTTAGAAATTAATAATAAGTTTATAAAATAAAAAATAAGTCAGATTAATACACCAAAGCAACTCTTAGTACTAAAATAAGTAATAAAATATTAATAAAAAGTGAAAATTGTGGATGTAGATACTTTATAATGATTATAAACTCGAAATTCTACCAAGACCTAGTTAGGCAACTGAAGGGCTCTTATATCACCATAGTAAAGGAAACTATCTAGTAGCTATGTTTATTTGGCAGGCAGCTACTACATTAATTAAATACTAGAAAATACTTAATTATGAATCTTAAAAAAAATTTGCCAGTACTACTCTTTGTGAAGAGTAGTAGTAGAAAAGTCACAGGAAACCATAAATAATGGTAAAATTTTTCTTTCACCAAATCATTTTTTTTTTATTACCATATTTAGACTAGTTCTAAAACTTTTATCAGCATGTTATCCATGTACTCTGTCCATCTGATTCAAACAATGAAATTAAAAAAATATATTCCAGAAATTAAAATAAGAGCTGGAAGAAAAGGTTTTATAAGTATACCAATGTATTCACTATTTTCTTAAAAGACATATATATATATATATATATATATATATATATATATATATATATATATATGTTATAAATTAAGTTTTTAATGTCCAATTGAATAAATAGTGTAATTCAACAAAAAACGAAATTTTGATAATGCAAAAAATACTACATGGGTCAAATATTTTTATTGTATCGAGTAATATTAGTTATATTAAAATAATGGAAATATCATTCGACAATACCAATTTTACCATATGATTAAACATTTCGAACAGATGGCAAAATAGCTAAATATCTTCATACTAGTAGGAGTCTGAATCACATTCTATAGTACATATTTAACTCTGTTATAGCCAAATCCAAAATAAACTAGGCATTAGTATCAGTACATACCTACCTACATACAACTTCCTAACAGTTACCAGTATGAAGTTTTTCATTTTTCTAGGTGCATACCTGATTGGTGTCGATAACTGCCATTCGTTATCTTTTTATAATTCAATCTCCCTTCAATAACACAAGGTTGGTCGCTCAAATGAGCGAGTTCACGCAAATTACACTTCATTTTGTAGAAAGTTTCTTATAAACAGTTCATACTAACAAATAAACTAAGAACATAGTACCCATTATAGAAGAAATTCTTGAAAAAAATTTTAACTCAATATTTCAAAATTACTTAGTTAAATTTAGTATTTTGAACTAAATTCAAATGCACACAACAAATTTAACTCATATTTATGTAACTAAAATAAAATATAAATTTGACGACATTGTAGATTAGTGAAATATGTCTAAATAAACGGCATGAAACATGGAGCACAGACCAAATAGCAATGACAGGAAATTGACTGACAGCTAGTTGTCAATACATTAAGAGATTTAAATTGATGAAATCAAAAAGTGAATGTATACAACGAACGCCAAATACCAATACAACAAAATGAATAAAATTTTTCAATGTTATATAATGATTTTTCATGTACAAGTTGCTACAAACGTGTTGTTATATAACACTCATACATCAACAACTACTAATGAATGTTTTTAATGATTAGTAAATTTATATATATAGCATTACAGTGAATGAACAAAATTAGTAATCGAATGGTTTACGACTACTAGATACATTCGAATAATTCAAATAAATTGCTCAATTAAATAATTAGATTTATTTTTTTCTATCAAAGGGTCCCGCGATTGATCACGATCTCACCTAATGAAAAGCGATGAGACTGTCTTAGATTAAACTCGCAGGCCCACTAATTCATGGGCCCGCGAACTTTTCACATTTGCCTTAAATTGGTGCAGATTATATTTGGATGGATAAACATAAACAAGGAGAAAGTTCCACTCCTTGGCCGTACGCATGATGAAGACGCAAAGCACTTCGTGTGTATTAATGGTTTGTCTACGACGTAAAGATGGAGGCTCTCGCCCCGTCTGGTCGTCTGATACTGAGACTGAAAGAACAATCAGATCATGCAGTTCTTGAGCACACTCTCCATAATGTATCCTGTTGAAAACAGCGAGTTGCCTAATTTTGCGGCAGTCTTTTAGATTTTGAAATTTGTAATGCAGCAACAAATCGTTCCCTATAAGTTTCTTACTTCGTCGTTCAACATAATCAAGTGAAGCAAGTTGATATTTAAAAGAGCCATCCCAAAGATGCCAGCAGTACTCCATGGATGCTTGAACCTATGCTTTATAGAGTTGTCGTAGTTGTTTCGGTGTAAAGTACCGCCTAACTTTAAATAAGATACCGAGTTAGTTGCCACTATAGTAGTCGTATTAGTAAATTCGCGCATAGCTACTAACAATCAGAGGAATTCTAGGCTTGAATATATATTGAATGTAACAAGTGGGAATTTCACTTGTATTACGCCAAATCATACGTCACTTAAGCTACGTCGTAGCACAAAAGTGCTACAAATCGCTAAACCAAATCGCAGATAGTTTTTTTTTAATGGATGATAATGAAATGGTAACCCCACGTGCGCTATCGGTATACACTAGCGGGGCACCAGTGAGGGATGATAGGTGTGGATGAAGCAGGTCAGTTAGCCCACCATGACGAATCTAACAATAAATCAATTACAATGGTTTCCAGGAGGAACCACGAGAACGTCGACCTGATCCTTCTCCCCTCTAGTCGCAGATAGTCGCTGCGTCCAAATTTATTAGTCGTTGCTTACGCTTGGTTAACAGTGTAGTGAAATCGCATTAGATGGACGACTGGGCCGTACAGAGCGATCTGGTCGCGCACTTTATCATACTCAGTATCTGTTTGCTCGCTTTTATCATAAAAAATTTAATTCATACTTTGCTTTTAGTAGCAAGTGCGACAGAAATTCACTGCGAGCGAAAATCACATTGTTTGAAGTCATTTATCACATAATTGTGAATAAAAATAATAATATAACAAAATTATAATGAATTAAATGTAGCAATAATTTCCATGCCTTACTATACTCATGACATTCAGTCTGAATCTAACATGGCACCATTTTTCAAACTTACCACTAAAATTAAAATTTTAAATTAATATCACAGCGAACCTTTATGAATATGACTTATTATAACGTACTTTACAATCTAAGCTATGAATCAAAAAGAATATTAATTAGGTACATTTCTAATAGTTAATCTTTTTTTAATGGGTGATAATAAAATAGTAATCTTAGTATTAATATAAACCTACGTGGTTTCTAAATGTTAATGTAACAATTTCTGTAATTCTGTATTTTTGTGATAATAAATAAAAAATCACGCCTGCGCTATCGGTATATATTGGCGGGTCACCAGTAAAAAAGATGAAAGATGAAAGATGAAGATGAAAGCAGGTCCGTTAACCCACCGTGATAAATACCAGAAGAATTCATCTTTTCCAGCAGGAATTGCGTCGAACTATAGTGTATTTTGCATACAATAAGACTTAGATCCCCAATGACTAACAATACCATTCCCCCAACATTATTAGTAATTGAGTCTATATTGGACTTTATAATAAAGATTTCGTTGTGATATCGAATTGAAATTTATTTATAGAAATGGGTTAATTTAGAAAATAGTGCCAGAGTTTATGTCTAAGTTATTTTACACAGTATGTGCATGTTATACTAAGTCTATGTGTCACAGAAAAAAAAAACTGTCTCGAAAATATAGGTAGCAATAGTAACTTAATGAAAATATTAATAATCCAATTATTTATAAAAAGCGCATACGTACTTTCAGATACATCTTTGCGACGTTTTATTCGCATCTTGGAATGGGCACCAAACAATTCCGAGGTGAGAATCTCACTGGTGTCCCATCAGTGTATACCCGGGGGGAAGGACAGGCAGGAGCGATTGCTCTTTCATAAAAATCCATTAAAAAGGTACATTTGTAGACTAGGTACGTAAAAGAGGTGCCAAAGAAAACGACATCTAACAAACGACTAATAAAAATCTACCTTTGTTGCCTTTTGCAGACAAAATGCACCATTAAACTTGTTTATTTTGGTTTACGGGATATGATTTACGTACGTACTTTACAATATATTATAAAGCTTACCTTACACGAATCATATCAGTATTGCTATGCATAACCTAGGAATCTAGAGCCGGGGGTGGGGGCGCAAAAATTATCTTTTGATATGTATCGATATACTCGTAAATTGGTTGACTGAACGATAGGTGAAGATGAAGGCAGATAATTTTGCTCATCGTCACAAATTCATCAGAAATTAATCATGATGGTTTCCAAGAGCAAACTGAAATGGCAATAGTAAACTAAATACCACAAATTGTTTTATGGTTTGCATTTAGCAGAGTTTTTAATCTTCCAAAACTCTTAATAAGGACTTGGGACAACCTCACAGATTGCAAAAATCTACGAGAACAGACAGCTTAGATAACAAAAATATCATAATTGTAATTACTTACTCATTTATTTTTAACTTTTAGTACAAAATAAAACTAGTACACAGGGATACATCTCAAACCTAGCATTTGCAATGTTGAATAGTCCGATGCTTATGACAATAAGTCTTCTCATTTGTACTATTTTAGACACTAACGTCACACAGATTTGCTCATATTCCCCATTAAAAATAAAACTACGTCATAACTGAATAATGCAATCACTCTTCGAGTCAATCTGGTCAAAATACATAATGTATTATGCCGAAATAACTACCCTACTATTCATACGTCAGAACTCATTTTTTATGCTTAATTGCTTACTTATTATACACATACATAATTTTGAGGTTTGGAGCGGCATTGATGAATTTTTCAGGCACAATCAAACCAGTACATACCAATATTTAAAATACACAAAACGACGATTATGTTCTTAGAGCATTCAACGCCGAAGGCACAGTAACGTTACAGTAATTTGATAAAATTTTTGTCCTTATCGCCACAAACGCAGCGGAAAGATTCGTTTAAAAAATTATAAAATTCTTTGCAGTGTTGAATGCTTTAAAGTAATAGTACTAAGTATAAACGTATCTATACTTACATAATAGAAATTGATGTGACATCCCTCTTTAGGTCGTTTATGTATTATAAATATTTATTACCTTGAGTATCACTTACATTAACACAAGTCTTCGGTCTCAAATTAATATTATTACCATTGCTCAAATTTTAGAATTATTAGATACACTACACAGTCATATGAATATTTCGAATGAAACGCTTACGCTACAACAATATTATATGCAAAAATGTTGCAAAAAGAATTTGAAATGAAATATTTTGTAGTGTCCGTAAGTGCGCCAATTATAATTGTTATTTTTTTTATAAATTACATAGAGGCATAAATTTATTTTTCTAAAACTATTATCAAAATTGAACAATAATATTATTGTTTAAAAAAGAATTTGAATCGGTATCATAAAGATACCAAGCCAAAGTAATACTATAGTAAATGTCCTTTGCAAACTGAAAACTTGAAAAAAAAATCAATGATTAAAACCCCACAAAAATGCTTATTATGAAAAAACATCACTCTTAGTGCCACTTTAAAAAATGGTTCAATAACCATTGCAAAATATAGTAAATATAAAAGGCCACATTTTGAATTGAAAACCACTTAGTCGACTTACGTATTTTGAAAATTAAATCAAATATATATATACTTATTAAGTAGAAGTTGTAGACATTTACCCCTTCTGTAAAAAGTCATAGAGAGAATCTAAAACTATGAGCCTCTTTACAGAATAAATTAGGTACTTTGTCTTTAAACTAATAACAATATTAATCTCCTAGTTATTAAATATTATGTAACAGCTATCTACAATGAATCTTTATATTTTTCTTCATTCAGAAAACTCATAAGAAATGGATTTTAAATCTTACACCTAAAAGGCGGATATTTTCGTGAGCGAGTGTTATGAAAAAAAAAAATTTAGACGCGAACATTTAGATAAGAATACAGTTGTGCATTAATAAACATGTAGATAAACATGCTAAATATAAATATTTAGTGAGCAAAAATCAATTATTGAAAGGTATAGAAAATCATCAAACATTAATCATATTCAATAAGAACACGTTTTGGTTAGTGGTAATAACAGCCATAGATAAGAAACGTTAAAATAAACCGTATCATTAACTATAGTTCTTTAAAACAAAATCTCTAGAAAAAAAAATAATGATACATTTATTTACATAAGACTATGGACAGTTGAAGATTGATTTTCGCTTCACTAGATTATCGTATGGAAAATATTTATATTCTACATACATATTGTTTTTTTTTTTTTTTTTTTTTGTTAAAAATCATCATAATTGTAAGTCGAACGAAGCAGCCAGTCGAATTAATGCTTCCACAAAATATGGTCAAAGTTTAGAGTTGTGGACTTTATTGGTAGAAAGAATTCAGTATTTGCTCAAATTCAGACATTTGTTACTTTTACTTAACAAAAATATATTCTCTTACAGCTCGTTACAAGAATTAAATATCAACAAATATCGAATTATTCAAATTCACGTTTCCTTCAAATTAAAAAGATTTCAAATTAACCTTAGGAGATTTAGTGTTATGTTTTAGTGTTTAAACATTTTAGCCTATGACGTTATCAATTTCTTGATGACCAATATGAAGTGATAAAACTCGGTATACTAATATATAATAGTAGATTTATTTAATTAAAATTTATTATTTACTATTCCTTCTACATGCATAATTCAATAGAAAATTTTCAATAATAAATACATATGTGAATTCTGTCTCCTGTTTTCATTATTATGAATAAGAAAATCGATATTGAAGGAGCCCGTCTATTTTATACAACAGTTTTCAGAAGAAATGGTCCCAAAATTATCGCAGTTCGTAAACCGCACCATTGGTGTTACCTATGTATATACATAAATGTACGTATATAACTCGGATAATGGAAAAAACGCTAGTACTTACATTCTATTCCATTAAAATATTAACTACCTTCTCAAAATATGAATTGTATGAGATATAGATAGGAGCAAGAAACAAGTGTCTAATTTTAAGGCAGTACTGATTTCAAGTATTCAATTAGATGCAAAATAAGCTCAACAACCTATAAAATTAAAGAGACAACAAAAAATCCACCTCTGCTCATGTTTCGTAATGCGGTTCAAACATTCATCTCACACTATTACTTGACACATATACAGACACAAGTATAATGTGATAAGTAGCACATTTACAGGTTTTATATACATGCTTTTTGGCACTAAATATTCAAGACTTTTGTCTGAAAATAATAAATTTATTCTGAAAATATATATTCTTACTCATTAAAGCAAGAATATACATTACATAATTCCCATTATTTTGTTTATATAAAATATAATTTTCCTTAACTGATAATAATTTTAGATGATGTGCAAAATACATAAATGCTATGGTTTTGGGATACTATTGACTACTTCCTTTTAAATAGCTCGAGGTCCTTACAAAATCATTTTTTAGTACAATAAAGAGCACATATTAATCAGTATAGTGTTGCTAAATAATTATATACTTATGTATATATCATACTGTTTTTGATCTTTGGTATAAATCGAAATGATGTTGAATCAATGAAATAGTTAATATTGTACTTCTGTAAAGTAACACATTGTTCGTTTAAATATATATAAAAATTACAATAAAATAAATCCAATTCGATATATATATATATATTATGTGAACACAAGTCCTAATTTAATTAATAAAAGATGTACTGGTATAAGATTGCTTTTATTGTATTGACAATTAGCTATTTTTACCTTTAATCTTCATATATTATAAGCACCTTGCCATTTCGGGCCTTCGGTAGGACTTATATTAACTCTAATAGTCAAGTAGTAGCTATTATCCCTGATTTAGTACAATATTTTATACACTACTTATTTTATTCTATACAATTATTATTTATATTATACATGTCAAATCTCCTTTTCTGAGTGACCACGAGCTATTTCATAACAATACATGCTACTTTTAGTAATATCGCTTGCAAGGCAGTTATAAAACTTAAAATCTGTATTAGCCCCTTTAAATTATACTAAATTACACTACAGCGGTTTCATACCCAATTAATAGTATTCCCGTAGTTTACACAAGTTCTTTATAGATATAATATTATGTAAATTTTAAGACTTCTTCAAAGGAATGATAACATTATTCAGACCGAGCTTCCCGTAACATTGTAAAACAAAACTCATAAAACAACAAACATTCACCAAACGACCGGTGTAAGGAAGATCCGCTGCGTCATCACTGAGTCATGTATTTCAAACTCTAATACCTAAATGAACACATGAAATACAATCCGTCGCTGCGCAAACGTTTTTCGGAGCGCCCCAACGAAACGGCGACATAAATCTAATATTAAATAATTACAAGTCTTAAACGTAAAATAAACTCAATAATATACATAATTACATTATATATTCGAAAAAAAAAATGTAACAAAATCGACACAAACAACATACGAGATGGGCTCGACAAAAGTCGCTGCTCTAGAATGACTCGACAACTATCGAGCCAACTCTATTTACATAAAATACATTCACTCATTCTCTCGCGTCGGCAGTGTTCCGATAAAAAATTATACTAGAAAGGCGCAACGCAGCGCTCGTATAGATACTGGCAAACAACCTGGACACGATTTCAATGCCATGACTTGTGCAACAAATATTAAGTAAAAAGATGTAACAGATAGCCCACACTTCATCTCATAATAGAACTCTAAACCTACCAAAGGGCACGTAACACCCACTTTGAAAATCTCTGAAATACGTAAATATTTTTTTATGTCAACATCGTAGTTTACCTCGCACCATCTACGCCTTGTCAGAGCCAGTATTCACTAGGCGAGCTGCTGCTTCATCAGACGCCCGTCAAAACTAACAATAACTACTCGGTATAGCTTTGGGACCGCATTGTCATCTAACGAGTATGATTATGTTCAAGTTGTTTGCCGCGACAATACTAGGCGGTACTAGGAGCAGCGCTGGTGCGCGAACCGGCACACGTCGCAGCGCTAGGTGCGCGGCCGTCACATCGCCGGCCGCTCCCAGTCCACGGCGGCAGGCGGCGGCGGCCCGCTCCACGCTCCCCAGCGCTCGCGCCGGAAGAAACGTTTCTTGAAGTGGTGCGCCGGCAGCGGCGATGGCGACCGGCCTTCGCTGCCGCACGCCGCGCCTGTGCCTGCCGCAGCGCCGCCGACACCCGCCCCCGGTGCCGTCCCCGGCGTAATCGCAGCGCCACTAGCCCGAGCCTCACAAGCCGCGCGGGCGGCTTCACCGTGACCGATTCCAGAGTCAGGCGACGTATTACACGCTTCGTCTGAACGCCGCCGCTTGTCTTCCATAGCAGTCGATGCGAACGATATAATCTGATCGAACCGAAAAGCGATCCTGTCCTGCCATTTGCTCTCGTCGACTTCTTCGCCACCTTCCCCTTCTATAGACAACAACATTAATATTGTAAAAATAACGCTCTCAGAATCATCGATACTCAAACTCAAACAATACACACGTAAATCAGTATTTATGGACTCATACATCGTCGTATGTTTGAACTGTCAGATTATCGCGTGAAAACCGCATCACTCTGTAGACTAGGCCATAGACTCAAAACTACGAATCCGCTGGAGTGGTATTCTAACAGGTACCTGGGGGTCGACCGCCGTCGGGTAATTCATCGACGAGAGGTGTCGACGTGTTAGAATGTGGATCAAGCGGTGGAGTGCGACGTCGGATAGCCTCCTCTGGTTCGCCCACACCGCCACCATTTCCATTGCGTCCACGCCAATAATCAGATGCAAGTACTCGCGCCTGTAGACATGCTGCTAACCCTGTCAAAGAGCATTAATTGATCTTTAAAAATATATATCTTTAAAATCTATATTAATATTATAAATAGGTAAAGTTTGTGAGTTCGGATCTTCATGGTAATCTCCGGTACTACTGATCCAATTTTGAAAATTCTTTTACTATTAGAAAGTTATATTATTTCTGAGTGTTATTATAAGCTACTTTTTATCTTGGTAAAAATATATATTATCAATAATTAATGGCAATAAATGTAATTAAAGTTAGCAAAAATTATATATGGGTTGCGCAGCCTTAATGATTTGAAATAAAGCAATAAAATCTATTACAAAGATATTTATTACTTTTAGCTTTACAAAAAAGACTGTGACACCATAGATCTAAGTTTAATATTTCATCTAAAGAGATAGTTTTATAAAAGTAAAAAAAAAATCTAAGCCTTTCATTTCAAAATCTTAGAGAATATTAGTGCAGTACTTTCACACACGCCAAAATAACAGTCTGATTAACATTTGTTGAACAGTTTTAAAGTTACACAAACAAATACTACACCTGTGCGAAGCAGGGGGCAGGTCGCTAATACTTTAATATATAACAATTACAGTTATTACTAATTAAAAAAAAAATGCAAAGAATGAGCAAATAAAATTGTAAATGAATAAATATGCCTACGACTGTAATCCCTAATGGAGTAGTCAGAAGCATTTGTAGTCCATATTTTCCTCGTCATCTTCATTTATAATGCAACGTGGCGTGATTGAATTTAAATTTAATTAAATACTATTTATTTAATTATTTATTACCTTCAAGGGGTTGATGAGGCGCACGATCGGGTTCGTGGTATCGAGCACTCATATTGACCGTTGCATTAATGATACTTTGGTTAGAGATCTCGAGTGTCCTTTCAATCTCCCCGTTAACAAGATCGCCAATGGTACGCGCGCCGGGCGTCGCCAATCGCTCCTGAGACAGGTGTCGGCGCAATGCCAACTTCGCCGGTGACACCTATTCATTTGTTAGTTTTAGTACCTGCTACTCTAACATGTTTCTATTATGCAGATCTAACAATAATACTTTATGCTAAATTTATACAAATATTATATTTTACTACAACTTTAAAATACTACATGTATTTTAAAGTTGTAATAGGTTAATATTAAACTAAAATATTAAAAGTTTACAATTTTCTGCCCAAACATGAGTAGACAGAATGAAAAACATCAAAGGTACAGTTGGATTATTATGATTATATTGAATGTACAAGTAGGTACCTGTGTGTAGTCGGGCTGAGAGGGATGAGCGTGATGATGGCGTAGATCGGGGGGCCGTCCATCCATGTGCGGGGGCGGCAGGCGCTGCTGGCCGTCCGCGCGCCGCTCGTACGGGTAGCGCTCGCGGCGCAGGTCGCGGGCCACGCCGCGCGCGAACACCGGGCCCGCCGCGCCGCCGCCCGCCGGCGCGCCGCCGCCTGCCGCCCGCGCCGGGTACGCCGCGTGCTGCGCGCTCGACGAGCGAACGTAACCGTTACTGTATGTATGATTCGGCGCCGGTTGACGCGACGCCTTGCGGTGCTCCTGGTCTTCATTCAGAACCGAGGTAATGATACTCTTGAGTCGATCCTCGAAATTGATCACCTTCGGTGACTCCTGCACCTTGGATACCACGTTGAGGGGCTTCTGGGGCTTCACTGGTGAATGGCGATGCGAGAGTTGTGGTGGCGGCTGAGCAGGCCGCAGCGACTGCGGCTGCGGCTGCGTACGGTGCACGGGTGCGGTCGGCTTCTGTTGACGATGGTGCGATTCGATGTGCCTGTCGGGATCTCTAGTATACCCGTTTACGATTACGTTCGGTTTAGCGATTTTCCCGGCTTCAATTTGTCGACCGGTTTCCAGAATCTTTTGTGCGAGGATCTCTGGATTTTGTTCCTCAATTTTTCCTACATCTGGCACATCAGGCCATTCCTGAGACCTCGAGCGATGTTCCCTGGATTTCCTCGGTTTTGAGTTTACCGTATGAGGTTTGACTGTAGCGACAGGAACACACGAAGGAACCACTTTTTGTTGTTCGCCAGCTCTTTCCATTTGTACAATCTCATTTTGAAGCAAACCCACCTGCGCATGTAATCTTTTTCGATGCGCTAATGTAGCAGATATTTCCTTTAATATGCAATCATGTGCAATATTCTGAGTAATCTCTACATCTGGAGGTATATGACCCATTTGCCTATATTTCTCTGTTATTTCAAATGTTCTTTGTTTAACCAGCACAGCTTGTTCAGCTTCTATATTGTTAACCTAAAAAATATGAATAAATTGATAAACATGTCTACTATTCATCCCTTAATTTAATTAATCTAAATCATGACGTTATGAATTACGAGGGCTACACTGAATATTTTTAGAATTGGCTACTTGATAACAATATAATAAAAAAAATTGTTAAAATTTTGAAAATGGAACTCTTTACGAATAATACTGAGTATATAATTTATTCGTTTGTCATTTATTTTACGATTTCGCGGCAAATTGAAAATAGTCTGTGTAACGTTATCATGAACTTAACACGAGAAAATTTTCGTGCGATGATTTTTTTTACTTTCGATGTCATCTAAGTCAATAAGAAAGTTATGATAGACTACGATTGGCCTTTCACGATAAAGCCCCGTCTCGTGCCACTGTTTACAAATGGTTTAATGAGTTTAAACGTGGTCACACTAATCTCACCGATGATGTGCGTGAGGGACGGGCTTCTACGGCGACGACTGAAGATAATATCAGTGTTGTGCGGCGTATGATAGAGACTGACAAAAGAGTGACCTGTCAGCAGATCCGGGCAAGCTTAGGGATTGGTATGAGTCAAGCGCACAAAATCCTCCATGAACATTTGGCGGTCAGGAAGTTTTGTGCCCGGTGGATACCTCATAATTTGACCTAGGCTCAAAAACTCCGTCGTGTTGATTGGTGCCGTGAAATGCATGAAAGATTTAACGGAGGTGACTTAAATTCTGTGTTTGACATAGTTACGGGAGACGAAAGCTGGATTTACTATTATGATCCCGAAACTAAAAGACAGTCAGCTCAGTGGCTGTTTCCTTCCGAGGAGTTGCCAACTAAAGTGAAGAGAGGTCGGAAGCGTGGGAAAAAAGATGGTGGCCTCGTTCTTTGGGAGGACAGGTCATTACGCGACAATTGTTTTAGAGGATCGAAAAACAGTTACTGCAGAGTGGTACAGTAACAATTGTTTGCCACGTGTTTTGGAAATAGTACGTGAGAAACGACCTCGCAGTAGGATCCTCCTTCATCACGACAATGCTTCGTCGCACACCGCCAAGCAAACGATCGATTATTTGGCGACCTCAGACGTAGAACTACTGGGTCATCCGCCTTATAGCCTCGACCTCGCACCTTGCGATTTTTATTTATTTCGAAAAATAAAAGAAAAACTTCCAGGAATACGTTTTATGGACGCCGAGGAAGCTGTGGCTACGTTTCAGAAGGCCGTCGAAGAGATTCCTAAGGACAAGTGGGCAAAGTGTTTTTCTCGGTGGTTTTATCGGATGCAGCGATGTATTGACGTAAATGGACATTATTTTGAAAAGATAAAATAAAGGTAAAAACTTGCTAATTAAATCAGTTTTTGATTTTCTAAGGACTTTCAGTTTGACCCTCGTAGTAACGATTAAGGTGAGTTTCTTAAGTACTCAAGCACAATATATTAATTACCTGCGCCTGCAGTTTGCTTGCTTTACTTTGTAACTCTTTATGTCTTCCTACGATCTCTTTAGCCTTTGCCAACAAATCCACAGTGTTATTAGCGTGTATACCTAACTCGCTCATACGTGCTTTTAGCAAAGCAACACTGTCGCTAATTAATACATTGATCTGTTTATCTAACTGAGAAGCCCTTGATTTTAATTTTTGATTTCTTTCCTGTAAAATAATAAGTCTTATATAATATAATTTATATTTGTCAAAAATTACCTGCAAATATTTGATATATACACTTAAATATTATATGCAGTATCAAAGTCCCTTATATATGTAGTAATATTACATAAATATATTATTATTAATAAAAAGTAAGTTCAAAAACTAAAACTTGATTATTGGAAAATCACACCTTAAAAAGTAAGAAGAAAGAAAATATTATTATCTGCAAAATATTCAATATTTATTGTCTGTTACATAATAACTTACACTTGATATATTTAAATGCATTTAAATACATATTTATAGTGATGTTCAGAGAATATTCATGATCGTATACCACTTACCATAACAAAACAATACATTCTGATAGTAATAAATGCTTTAGTGCGATGACGACGGGTCTTCTTACCCGTCATATAAATGTGGCGGGCGAGGTAAGGACATTGGGCTAACCCCACTACCCTGATCTCAACTCCGGAGGCCACAACTTCCGGGTCACTGGGTCTAAGCCGACATACTGAATGTTGTGTATATGTCGGCGTGGCATTGCTTTAGTGCAATTCATCACGTTGTACATATAGAGAACGCCATATTACCATATATATACGGATGCCACACGACCACAGCTATCCTCTGAACGTTACTATAAACATGTACTAAATACATTAAAATATTTCACATGTAACTTATTTATTTCAAATAAGAATATTTCCTTATTATACTATTGATTCCGAATTATTGGGTACATGCAAGAAAAGCCGCGAATAACAGTTATGTATATTTATTTTAAAAGTGCTAATTAAGTTTCTTTCATTTGATACCAACATGAGGCATGGGTAATATCGATACCGCTCAGATATCTATATATTGTGTTCCTGTAGATTTGGATGGGAATAAAAATCACACATTTTGATATGGTATATTGTATAACCGATTTTTAATATATCCGTTATTAGGTTATTATATAAATATTTTATTCACAGTATATAGATATTGCTATGTATTACCCACCCCTACCCAACACTGTATCATCAGGATGTTTTTTAGTTCATGACTTTCTAGAAGGCGCCATATTTAACTTAATGTAACGTCACATATCCTTTAACAATCAAAACATTTCCAACAATACCTCATTTGATAAATTATAATGAGTATTATTATTATTATTTTTATGATAAGTAATTTAAAAAATATGAAGGAACAGATGACCATACATACACACATACAAACATACCCACATACATACATACCTGTCAAAATCATAACCCTCCTTTTTGCTTCGGCGTAGTCGTGTAAAATTATGCTTATCACTATAACGTAATTGTTTGATATGATAGATAAATATAGTTTAATCAATAATTCAATATCAAATTATTATTTCTGATTAAATAGTCCATTACATACATTAATAACATATCAATCTTTTAAACATTTACCTTCTCTTTATCTATTTGATGCCGGATCTCATGAGCGTATTCTGGTGAGTTCATACGATTAATGAAAGCAAGATATTGGTCTCGAAACATATCGAGGAGTAACTGTAGGCTGTACGGCGTGTGCGGTGAGCGTGGTATATCCAGTTCTGAATGCAATCGGTCCGCAGGTTGCAGTTGCACTCCAAGCGCCGATAGACGCTGTTCCACGCAGCCAGGCGGTGGCGCAGTTACCTAAAATTTAAGTGTAAATTATTTTATTACAAATTAATAAAACAATTGAAATACTTAATGAAATATTTGTTGAAATATTAGTGAAGAAAAATAAGTGAAAAATAAGTTCTGAACGAGTAATTAAAAGGACTTAATGTATTGTTCTTAGATTATTTAAAGCTTATTTAACTATAAATTTAAACCAGTATATTACAAACATAATCTAAGATTATTGTACAATAAGAAAAAAATGAAATATCTAGTTGTTATAACATAGCATGGAAATAAACATTCAGCCCTTACAGCTCCATTGCGTAGCGTAGACGCAAGTGTAGTGGAGTGCAACAAATCCAGTCCAGCAATCGAGGGTGGTGCGCCGCGGCGACGTTTAGCGCGAGCGGCGCGTCTACGTGCGCCACCTGCGCTTGCACTACGTTTGCTTGTTGACCGTCTGCTGCGATCTGCAAAGATATAAAAAAAAAAAAACTATAATCCCTATTAATTTATACGGTCATGTACCGAAGGAAATTCTGCCTTTTTCACGGAGAGCTATAATATATATAAGTTTCATGTTTAAGTATAGATACCTAACTAATAGAACCCCATCTAAAAATCCTAGATAACTGTAGTAATCTTTGTATTTTATATTCTCATATTGCAAAGTTTCAGCGATTGAGGATTTTGTGTATAGTTTCCCAATAAACAATTGCTATCTTGACTGGACTAAAAATTACTATCTAAAGTAAATAAAGATGTAAATAAATAGTGGATCTAAAATTAATAAGAAATTAATATATACATAAATTAAATTCCCGTTCTCATTTTGTATAGAACAATAGTACAGTATATGTAAAAGTACTAAAAGAACAGTATGGACATTCCCTACAACCCTCTGCAATCTGATTTAAACCCCCCTTAAAACCTAATGGATGTCTCTAGGCTATGCTTCAGTTACCACCGATGTCAGAGAAGGATAGCATACATTTAAGATAAATAACCAATCTCAACAAGTCTTAATTTTTATCGAAATCCAGATTAATTTAAAATTGGAAATCGTTGCGTTTTGCTACTACCGTTGCGTTTTTGGAAGCACTAACCTTAATTTTTTTGGAAATGTCTACCTTGACAACCAACAAAATAATAATATATGTTAGCTCATCTGTTTAAAAATAACGACTATGTCCTATAGATATGATTTCCCAGAATATACTGTAGCACCTATGGCACAATATGTTGCTATTACTGACAACTAAGGTGTTATGCATACGTACCTGGTAATTTAAAGCTCCCTAAAAATATTCATACTACTGAATATTAACAGTAATCTACTAAGAGAAAATGAAATATTGGTAATATTGTATTATAATATGTACTTATTTTACTATTGTACTAAATTAACAAAAAATATATATAAAAAATAAATTTATTTAAATATTGATATGATCATGATTAGTAGTGTATTAACTGAAGTACATTTTTGTTATTTTCCGGAAATTCAAATATTTTATAACTATGAAAGTTACACTGTTTTTTTCAAAGCTACAACTTCAACTACATCTTACAATGTATCGAAGCAAGCGCTTTGTCTTGCGCTAATCATAACTACATGTAGGGAAGAAGGGATTGTTAGTAAGGGGGATTAGCAACCCTATTGCTATCAATATCAAGTCAAACTCCACGCAGTTTTGATTATTTTTTTGCTAAATTGAGCCACGTTGAGCCAACTAACCTGCTTCATCCTCATCTATCATCCCTGTCATCACTGTGCCTCACCAGTGTATACCAAAAGGGCAGGCATGGTGCATTCTGTTTATTACCATACATTAAAAAACCTTAACTCACACATTGTCACACATACAGACGTTACTTGTTTGTATATCAGTGATAGTCACGGATATTGGCGTTTTTTGTAAAAAGTGTCCGAGATGTGAGAATAGTCTAATAACGATAATCTTAATATAGGCCTAAATAATATATTACGTGATTTAGTAGCAATAAAAAACGTAACTAACTCGAATCTGAAGATGAAGCCCAAGGCGCACCCCATTCTCGAGGCGCAGGTTCGGGCCCCGGCGGTGCGTCGTCAGTACCACTGGACTCCTCGTCGCTTTCATCGCTGGAGCGCCGCGCAACACGTCGCTTCGCTACTGCAGCACGGGCTCGTGTTCTTCCATTCTCACCCCTATTTAACAATTAAATTACTAATAGTGCAAAAAACCTAACCTAGTACATTGATCAGTGAAATAATAAAATTAAAAATTTTAAGGCACTCCCCAAATTCCTGAACAGATCCTCATAAACTAGAGCTAAGAACAATCTCAATCACATCAGCTTACAAAAAAAATCTGCATTATAATCAGTCCAGTCGTTTAGGAGCTATGATGCCACAGACAGATGCATAGACAATTCTTTTTGCCGTTGTTGTCAGGAGTAATGAGAGCTAATAAATAGCAAGCCACAAAATGTAATAAAGCAACTTACCTGTGGTAGTAGTTATTATACTATACAAGTCATACTTGTATAGTATAATAATTCATTATAGTGTTTCATGTAACACACACAATATTCTTTTACATTACTTTGACTTGTCCTTTGATAAAAAATAATATCATGTTCAGTAAATGTACAGACACTGTAGATTACACTGTATACTCATGCAATATCCTAACACATTTAAGGGAATAGATGTTATGCCTTTTGTTGCACACATCACACAAACAAAACCAAATCTGATAGAATAAGACAAAGCTACCTATATAAGGGAAGCACTTGATAATCTCAATAGAAAATATTACGTTTATAGTTAACTATTTTAGTAATTTGAATGAAAATGGTAAATAGGTAGTTTAACATAAAGGCAACAAGATAACGTTAAACAACTTAAACTTATAATAAAAAATTGTGAATAAGGACAAGTATAAGTACATATAAATATTGCTACTAGATATTATTCACAATTTGCTTGGCATAAAATGAAGGTGTTTAGGAATCCATAAGCAAGGATAGTTGTTTACCGGACGGGTCTCGCTCTAGCCACTTTTCTCCTGCGCTCAGGCAGTGAGCCAGTGCTGTGGTTACTGTTGCCATTGAGCAAGTCAGGCGTGGGTTGCCGCGTTGGCGGGGCACTCAAATGTCGTTTACTGCTGCCTTCGCCGTCCTCACAACCATTGTGTGTGCCCTGATAAATTCAAAATAAATTATTATTACAACATCATAATCACCCATAATATAGCCTTAAAATTTATTAGAAGCAATAATAAAAACATATATTAGCAATTATAACACAGATCTAATAACAAAAACATTACATAAGCATTCTCATTAAAAGTATTATTATTAGCAGATTTTAAAGGAAATAACCAAGATTATATTGTACTGTCCTAACCTATCACTGATATTTATCAGTGATACCAAGTGAACCATACATGTTATTCTGAATGGATATGTGATATAATATTACTTATTGATAAATAAATATATTTATATGTATGCACAGAAATGTACATATATTACAAATTACAATCGCTAAAAGTAATGCTTCAGACAAAAAATGTTTGACATGAATGAATATTAATGACAAACATATAAAATAATAGATAAAATAGTAAGATGATGTGATTGGAAACAGACCCTTTTGCTGACCTTGAGTTTCGGATTTTTCAGTCTTTGAAAGTATCTCTCCAATTTGGTCCTATCTATAATATGTAAATAATAAGATACAGGCTTCCCAGTCCATGAAACAGATCCTTTCAATGGTGACATTTCACTGACATGCATGATGGTCCCAATGTCGCTCAAATTTCTGTCTGTTATTCTGAAGTTTAGAGGACAAAAACTTTTTGACGATACGATCTTTGCCCCATCTTTCAAATCAGCGAACCGTTCCTTCAATTGATGGTCTACATGTGGACCGAATGCGAAATTATTCACGAACACTATAGTTGCAGCATTGATTTTCTCTCTATGCTCATCTAATAAAAAGTCACCCTTTATTAATTTATATTCTCCGTACTTCTTGCCATACCACCTCATCCACATCCTAAAGTGAAAGTCCATACTCTGAAAATATAAATTAATAAAACATATATACATATATGTATAAAAAAAATATTTTAAGTATTTATGAAATACCAAAACAAATGTGAAAGAACAATATTATTATCTTTTATTAGTGTATTAAATATATTTTTACCTCAGCATATTTGCTAGGAACTTCTGCCTTTTCAACGCCAAGGCAAACGCGGCACGGTGTCGCTGCGGCCATCTGCAACACGACTTGACCTACTCCTGACCCCAAGTCTACAAAAACATCTTCTGATGTTATATCAATTTGGTCAATCATCTGGCTTATCAATTCATATGAAGTCTCTCCATATACCTGTAAAACACAAAATACACATAATTTTTTTTTTCATTAATAAAAAGCAAACCATCTTAAATTTTAACAAATAAATATTCATAAAAGCATAGAATTCAGATCAGATGGTGAAGACACCGTGTAGTTTATTTCTGAGACTATATAAGACATAGAAATACAATCGAATAGAAAACGTCCTCTTAAATTCAATAAAAAATACAGAATACATTATATAATAAAATAAGCGTAATAGTGTCTCACCTCTGGTGAAAATGGTTCATATTGATTGAGCTTATCAGGATCTGACACAGCTTGATTGTATGTTTGTTGCAAGATATGCTTCAATAATCCTCTCGACGGATATTTGTTCAAGCGTTGAGCTGGTAATGAAGTGCCTTTTTCCTGTAAAAAAAAAAAATATAAATAAGAAACTAAGATATATGAAAAATAGATAAAAATTAGGCCTACTATTTTGTAATTTAATATTCCAATGCGGTAATTATATGTTTATGCTAATTATATCAATACCAGTTAACTAGATAGTTAGTGTCATTATTAAATTTTGTAGTAGCTAATGTATACTAATAATACTAAATAATGCATTCAAACTGTACAAATCGACAATAATATGTAGGTGATGTAATAGAATGTAGGTATATTAGGTATATGAATTCATTGGAGAGAAGAATATACAGAAAAAATAACTTGTGCCTATAAAATGGTTCAATATTAATCAAAAATAACCAAAGCGTTTTCTGTATAAAATATATTATCTCATAATTTTGGCAGCCTTGACATTGCCGGCGTGGTGAAATGACCGATCAATACAGGCACTGCGTCATTTAAGAGCAATGTTGATAGCCTTGAGTGCGATCACAAATCAAGGTTTTGCAATATAGCTAGTAACTTACAAGTATAATTTACCGAACTTAAATAGAGTCAGAACAGGTCATTAGCATCGCTATACATAGACAAGGTAGAAAGACGTGTGACGAGAGCACGTGCTCTTTCCGCATCGGTAGGTCAAACTAACATAATTCCAACGGAATATTGACTACGTTTTTATTTTATAAACAGTGAATACGAATCGTAATAGATTAGAACGTTTATAATTTGCAGTCTTTATCTTGAATGGATATATTGTTTTTATATAACAAGATCGAGAAAAGTTACAGTCAAATATCGTTGACGTTGTTCGATCAAAGTCCTATCCAAAGCTTGTATTGAGCTAGGTATTACTTAAAAATTATGTTGTCAACCGAGAAACAAAAGATCCAATAATCTATGTATTTGTGCTGTTTTTATATATAAAAAAACATGCATTTAATATGCAAACGATGACATAACGACTTTAGAATCAGCATTCAAGGATGTGAATACTATATAATATTTTAACTACTGAAAGTTTATGATATTTTTGTGGCTCTCAATATACGAATCCAGCCACTGGGGTGTCACACACGTGTTGCCGATTCGTTTGACCTAAAAATCTTGAGTTCACTTGCATATCTCGCCCTGCCCCCACTATGATCATAAACTAATTATATAGTAATACAAGATGTTTTAACAACTTCGTCCGCATATCTAACTATAATAAAATCAAATGTTATGTATAGGCCACCAATATTATGTGTATTTCACGACGCAATCGTGAAATTTGATTAAATCAATGGCAAACTCAGAAATAACAACGCATGAGAAGTAGCGTCAGTGTGATATCCATGGTGCAGTTCACGTCAATAAGCGATAGTTTTCATCAGGTGTGCATAAAAACAGGCAAATTGATAACTTTTTATTGTTGTAGATGAAAGTAACAAAAAGAAATTGAATGCTCGTTAATTCGTCTGTCTGTATCACAACTTTTTTTCTCAGCAACTAAAATTGACATGAATTTTTGAAAATTTCTTCAAAATCTTAAAGTGGAGATATTACATATTATAATATAGTCGTTAAGACATCCTGACAATTATATCTATGGCTAAAATAAAAAACAGTTCGTTTACAGATTACGTTTAAGCACGGAACCCTCATTCTAAAAACCTACCTGCTCTTGATCACTTTAATGATAAAAATTCAGTAAAAAATAAATTAAAAAATTAAATCGTAGGTCAGGTGCATACGGCGAACACGTGCAGCATACACCTGTCTACTAGTTTTTCAACGTTTTATTTGGAACTAACTATATACTATTCAATGTAATATAAAAAAAAATTAGAAAAATTATATATATATATATATATATATATATATATATATATATATATATATATATATATATATATATATATATATATATATATATATATATATATATATATATATATATATATATATATATATATATAATATAATAGATCATATTGATCAACAATTGTGTGATGTATAACAATTGTGTTACTTTAACAATACGCAAAAACATAAAATTACCAGAGAACACTAAGATCAACTAATGTTTGTGTAACTTGCACCTACGTAGTTGTTATGTAGAGATGGATAACCTGCTATATTTAGCGGGGACTGGAAAATCAATAACGACCTCTATAAGGTGGCGGTGGCCGCTGTGGCCAGCGATTGCTACACGCGTGTACGTGATATACCTACCTACCTAGCCACTAAAGGCATACCATTTTGCATTATCGCATTAGACAAACCAATAGTTAATCATACATCTACAGATTTTTGTTAAAAAGTAATTTTACGACGACCTACGCTGCTTTTGCCTTTGAACTTTTCTTCGTCATTTTTTTTTACAGCACAGGTGGCAAACGAGCATGCGGCTCACCTGATGGTAAGTGACCCACCGCCCACGATCACCCACAACACCAGCGGCATTGCAGGTGTGCTACCGGCCTTTTAAAAAGGAATATACTCTTTTCTTGAAGGTTATGTTGTCGGTTCTTCGAGCTATGCGACCAGCCCAGATCTGTTTATAATTGGCGTAAAATATACACAATAAATAAAGCCCAATTGTAAATATCCTCCTAAGTTAGCACATATGTTACTGTAAAAGCCCGTACATAAGTAAATCTTAAGATTTCCCAACATGAGTTTGTTAAGTAATAACAACAATTATTTAACTATGTGTTAGCATTAGATAACTAGGTATAGCATAAAGTGGCAAGCACCCCAATTTCTCCCCAACAAAAGCGTAACTGGGTTAGGGGAAGCTATGCGACAAATCAATATCAACATTCATAGTGAACACACAAGAACATAAAATAACAAGACAAATTTTCCATATTCTATTTTTGACTAGATTTTTTGCCAGAACTTTTTATTTGCTATTGCCTGTATTAGACGTTCGGTACAATAAAAATATTTTTTTACATGTGTAATGATTAACATTACGTTTTAAATATTTTTAGATCCTTTCCCTGTCGTCCATTTTGTATGTTACAAAGCCAGAGACCTGAAAATGCTAATTATTAGTAATGCCAAATTTCTATCGTCAAGAAAAACAAGTAAACACTCAAATTTACACAAAACTTTCAAATACCAATTCACAATGCCTAAAATTAACGATAACATTTTTGCCGAAATAAATTCACACATTGTAACATAACTAAACAACCAATCACTTCTGAAATGCCTAATATTTTATAAAAATATTTTAAATAAAATGGTTGTTAAAATCATACCAAACAAAATCACAGAAAGTTATAATAAAAGTTACTTGCAAAACTGTATACACACCATAACGGTGGTTTACCAAGTACTCTATAAAATAAATTGAAATTTGAAAGAAAAAAAATGAGTAATAGGTATCATATGTACAGTTTTTCATTATAAAAAATAATGCCAAATGTACATAAATTTATACCTATAAAGTGTTACATCACGACAATAACAGGTCAATGAGCGATAGATGTGTGTTCGTATTCTCAGGTGTTCTATGCATTACACTAAACGAGGACTGCTGTACAATGTCTGCGGATGTTCTACTCACAATTCAGTCATCAGCAAAACATTAGATACAAACATAATACAGTGCTGAGACGATTAACTTTCTAAGGGCCGAGGCAGCGTGCTATCTAATTTAAGAATAATGTCCGGGTATTATACTACGATGTTACATCCTTTGTTTTAATTCTTCTTCTGATTAATTCTGTAAAATATGTATTACCATTCTTCTACCAGTACTTCTATTTAGATAGTATAAAACTAAAAATGAAAATGAATTCTCCGTCTTCCCTTTTCGACTCTGTTTATCAGAGGTTAAGAGTTATTTCTACAAAAAGACTTTGTTATATATATAGGTATATAGACAAAAATACGTAATTGTCCTTTTCATTTAAAATACCCATAAGTATACCAAAAAGTCGTGCTAATATAAAATAAAATAGTAAAGTTAGGTCAAGACAATTCACAATTTATACAATATCTTTGGATGTAAACATCATCAAAATCTAACAGAAATTATTATGTTATGGAAGGTAACTTCTTTTAACTATAATATTACGTCTTCTTATGTCCAACCATACCAAACACTAACACGGCGCCAAGCGTTGCATCACTAACTATACATATGGGTATCTGTACCTACCTACGTTTTGTGAAAATTAGAAAGCGGCCCTTCTCGATAATTTGCTGTACTATAGTATCTACCTTCCTTCATTCTAATCGTATGTCACTGAATCGCATACATCTTGTCTGTTTTAACATAAATGTACTAATGCTATGATTGTATATGTAAGTACAGAAGTATTATAATTTTCAAGCAACTTTAAAAAGAGTTGGTTCTCAATTCGCCTGTATACGCCAATTATGAATCCATTTCAGTAATATTGTAATCGATAGGATTTTCCCCCATTTTGGTCTGTTGTAATCGTATTACGATTGAAACTGTTTTTCTTTGCAAAGTAAAACCTATGAAATATTTTGTCCTCCGTTGGTGCATTTTATTTGTTTTAAAATAAAAATAATAAAATGACTAGTCAATATTATCTTTCTATTTTCAAGTCACGTCTCTTGTGAAGAATGCAGAATACCAAAGACCCTTAGATACATCTCTTGCTTCCTGAACTTTCCATAACTCGTCTATATTAATTAAGTCATAATTGAACTCGCCGTTTTTTGCGAAGCAAAATCTAAGTTTTGTGATATTTTATTTCAAAAACATATCTTTTTTAAATAAATAAATAAAATCAACCTTGAACGCGGTTCCCCCTGAAAACTATCATGATTAATTCCAGATGAATTCATCATGATGGGATAACTGGCCTGTTTTCATTTTCATCGATCACCCTTCACTGGTGCCCCGCCAGCGTATCCCGTTAGCGCAGGTGGGGTTATCATTCCATTTTCATCCAATAAAAAAAAAGTGCCTTACATGTTAATTAAAAACATGCTTAACCTACCCATGTACCACCAAATTTAAATCCATTCAGCAGTTTTTGCGTGAA